CTCATGTGCTCCTTCCCTCCCTGGAATTACTGCCCGTGGGATTCTCCTAAAGTCCTGACTGTGCAGGTGCCAGGCATCAATACTGTGCAGAATCACAGAACGCTTTGGGTTGAAGGGACCTTAAAGCTCCTCCAGCTCCAACCCCTGCCACGGGCAGGGACACCTTCCACTAGAGCAGGTTGCTCCAAGCCCCTGTGTCCAACCTGGCCTTGAACACCGCCAGGGATGGGGCAGCCACAGCTTCTCTGGGCACCCTGTGCCAGCGCCTCAGCACCCTCACAGGGAAGAACTTCTGCACAAGAGCTCATCTCAGTCTCCCCTCTGGCAGGTTCAAGCCATTCCCCTTGGCCTGTCCTACAAGCCCTTGTAAAAAGCACCTTTCTGAATTAGCCTTATGAAAAGCTTGCAGCCTTCACCACATACATTCTATCGGTATTACCTATTACTGTGCAATGTTGTTAGATTTTGAACTTTCCAAGATGTTCTTACTGTACAACACTGACATGTTTGCATTATACCACATTCTGCAGGTAAGTGATGTATTCTCACAGACCCAGCAAGTTCTGATAATTGCACTGTATCCTTGACATTAGGCTGGTGAACTCTTACAGCCAACACACTTGTACGTATTCTTTGTCCTATCACAGTGGTTTTCTATGCAAAAACCTCTCCGAGACCATTATTTGAGGTACATACTGCTTTGGAGTAGTTCTTCTTTTTGGTCCTCTCATTCTCTAATCCAGCCTGCAGTGAGATCAAGAATGCAGGATGAAAAGCATTTATGAGTTTCTGCGCACCCATCCATAGTCAGGCATGCACGCCAACATGCAAGAACATCAGTCCATTTCTGCTCCAGCTCTACATAACACAGGTCAGTAAGCACACGTGTGTGGGGGGGGGAAGTCAAACCTCAAAGTCAAATAATCAGTTATTAAAGAATGTTGTGAAAAGCGATGATAGCACTGTTTAAATTTAGTGACCACAGTTAAAATCATTCATGCTTGCTGGGTTAAATCAATTAAAAAAGCTACCAGCTGTCTATACTTAACTACATCTATACATCCATGCAAAGTCCCAATGTGTTTGAACTATTTCTGTATATAGGTCGCTCACAAATAGATACATTGCATTCTGCATTTGAAATAGCACGGGGAATGAAGGAGGGTGAAAAAGCTGGAGCGTCAGTAACACTGCTCTGTGCAGTCTGCTTTCTGCAGAAGTGGAGATGCCTCTCTTTCAACACAGTACTGGCACAAGACAGCAAGACAGCACTGCTAACAGTACAAGGAAATGTTCTTAAACTGAGTTTGAAGTCCCAGTTGTCATTCCCCCTCCCATGCCCTTTCTGTTCTTCCAAGAGTCAGCTTTATCTGAGCGTGTTCAATACAAATACTTGCTCTTGTCTTAGCTACAGTTTGATTTTTTACCCTCCAAAGCAAAGGTAACAGCTCGACACACAAGCTGAAGCTTTGGTAGGCAGCATATCTGTCCTGTGGCCTTTGCTAGATCTATTCAGAGTGAGCCTGTGAAAGCTGCATTCCTTTCCACATTTATGCTGAAATGAAACCAGACAATGTTCAAAGCCAGGCTGGACAGGGCTTGGAGCAACCTGGCCTAGTGGCTGGTGTCCAGTGCCCAGGGGGGTTGGAACTAGATGAGCTTTATGGCCCCTTCCAACCTTCACCAGTCTGTGAATTCTACACCTGGTCAAGCCATGCACAGACTGTAACAGAGACAGTCTGTTAGGGAAAACAAAAGCTATTCTGCTCTGTCCTATTGTAACTACTGAACTATTAGACCTAGCTTAGATCTCTTTAACCCTTCTGTGCTTCTCATGTGAACTGCATCAGAGCAGTAGGTGAGGGAAGTAGCATCTTTACATCACCAGCCACAGACTACCTCAGGACTATTTTAGATCACCCCTTATCTCACATCAGCCACCACACTTGATGTTAGTTTCTTATTCATGATTAGTTTTTAACACACACTGCAACTTGCAGACTATTCTCACCACTGGATAGGTGTTGGCATGTTCCAAATGAGACTGTAATGATAGGAGAGGAAAGAAAATAATCAGAATACAAAGGAAAACACTGAAGCAAGTCATGGCAATCAAAAGAACCTCCCCAGAAAACAGGCACAGAGATGTATACCCCAACTAAGAACTCCGGTAATGCAGAATTCCTTGTACAAAGCCAGAAGTCAGAAACTTTGGAGCAAACCAAACAAGGAAATGCACAAGCCCCACCATGAGTGATTAATACATACTGATATTCATGCTGGATGGTCTCAGATTAGAGGCAGCCGGCTGAGAAGTGGGAGAACAAGGACACCTGGTGTAGAAGAGAGACTACGGAGGGGCATGAGTGTCTCGTACACACAGAGGATGATGTTAACTGAGGAACAACAGTGTGAAAAAGCATCGAGCTTGCAGAACTTCTTGAACCAGAGAGGCAGGACACTCTTCATGGGTTCAGGACGAGCCATGGGAAAGCGATTACAGATCCCCTGGTGCAGAGGAAGATCTGCTGGCAGGAGGCAGAGATACGCTCAAGCTGGCATTACATGAACACACTGGGCCACTGCTCGCAGCACAGGCACAGCTGTGGAACTTCAATAAATTTGCTAGCCTGGTCTAATCAACGTTAGGTGCTTTTGCAGTCCATATTGATGGCTGCTCTGCAAGAAGCATCGAGGCCAGCTCCCAACAAGCTAGCTCAGCAGATCTCTGGTGCCTGCAGTTGAGACATCCACTTTCATACAGAGTAAAACCCACATCGATTATTAGTAGGGTGGTAAAGCTTCAGGGAGAAATGCACCTCTGGTATTGGCTCACTTCATTGAAAACTTCCTGAACAGAAAAGCAACCCCTCGCAGCATCAGCCCCTCACAGTGCAACGAGCCCAAAGATGCTAGATCAGTTTTCAGGTACTGGAAGCCCTGCAGACCAACTGCAAAGGCATTCTGCAACTGTGGAAGGAGAGCCTTCCAACAGCCAGAAAAAGAAGAGCATTCAGAATTCGCTAACTGGTTTTACGAATCCTTTGTGGACACAAGGCAACAGTTTTTGGTGCTCAGAAACCAAACTGAACTCTGCTCCTCAGAGGTAGCTTTTGAGGTTGGTCACTTTTTCTAATTGTTTTGCAGACACACACAGCAAGAGCCAAACCTTCACAGAGAGCCAGAGAGAGGTGTTCAAAGTATTAAAAGCATCTATCATAAACCCACACGAGCAAAAGAGTCAGTGTACATTCTATCAGTTCATTGTGAATGAAACAATTAAGAGATGTGCAAGGGTGCATTTCAGTTCAGACTAACAAATGTTTGCTTTCTACAATCCCAGGGACACTTGGATCAAGGAAGGAAGCTCTGTCAAAACCTTTCCTGTGCATGCCCGAGTGTCAGCTTGCGTAAGAACACTCACCAAATGCTGCTTTATGATGACAGGGGAGTCTGGGCAACATCACTACAAATACCACTGCGGAAAGTTCCAACCAGATCCTTCTGTCAGAAAAGGACATTCTTTGCAGAAGTCTTAGGGATTTACGGGCCATGCCATGAGGCGGTTGGAGCCCACCAGACCAGCACTGCTGCTCACCAGACCAGCAGTGGTTGTCACAGCCAGCAGGCAAAACAGCTCTGAAAAGCTTCTTGAGGGATGGTGGGGAGGCAGAACGCAAAGCTTCTGCTGTCCAAGCGTGTGCAACAGTGGAACACAGGATCATAGTACAGAAATCAGCGTAGTGGATTTCCATGAACTAAAGGTGTTTCATAGAATCATCATCACAGACTGGTTTGTGTTGAAGGGACCTTAAAGCTCCTCCACCTCCAACCCCTGCCACGGGCAGGGACACCTTCCACTAGAGCAGGTTGCTCCAAGCCCCTGTGTCCAACCTGCCCTTGAACACTGCCAGGGATGGGGCAGACACAGCTTCTCTGGGCACCCTGTGCCAGCGCCTCAGCACCCTCACAGGGAAGAGCTGCTGCCTCAGAGCTCATCTCAGTCTCCCCTGCACAGATGAACTGGGCTCCCACTGTAAATACGGTGCCAGTGTGCTTGCATCTTGCTCCACCAAGGGACACACACCTACAGCCATGTTTAAGCAAGTCACTTGTATCAAAACCACCTTCTAAACAGAAAGAATTGAAATTTCAACTGCTCTAGAGATATTTTTCCCCCTCCGACAAGGACTTCCATGAACATGTCCAAATTTAACTCGAAGTAAAATAAACATGGGTTTGCATGTTCAGCTGCGAGGCTGAGCTTTTCTTCATCAAATCTCCGGATCTTTCAGGCATCTTCTAGCTTTAAAAGCACACAAACAAGCTTGTGGTCTGAAAGAATAAAGCTTTTAACACCATTTCATAAATGGCAATAAGGATTCTGCTAAAAAGGGAACGAGGCAACACTCAAAAACTTTAAGTGCATCTTTGTGCTCTGCAGTAGTCATTTTTTACTGTTTTTTTCATCTTCCAGACTCTTTTCAAAGGCACATGAGCTCTGACACTCACTCCTCTCTTGGGGATACTCTGTCAGGAATGTCCACAGAAGTCAGAAACCAAAGATTACAAATAATGATACAGGTCTTGCTTGTTCTATAAAATCAGAACTAATCATCCAGCTCACCCCACATAACTAGTGCTACTGATACATGAGGAGCAATGGAAGAAGGAGAAGAAATTACTCTGAAACACTACAGTTTTAAGCACGACTCCGAAACAAGAACTGGCCACAGCTGATTCACGTTCAGGAATGCTGGGAGCTTCCTCCCTAGTGCTGTTGCAGATTGTTCCAGTTCTGTGGTTAGCTGAGTGCTTCTCCATAGGCCTCAGGAGCAGCGAGCTCCCATCATCTTTGAAGACCATTAACACACACCGAGACAACAGCATTAGCAGCTCACAACCACTAAATTGCTTAAACTGTCTTCCCAATTCCAAGAGCTGATTACGTCCATGCTAGAACAGGGTTAAGATTCGTACCCACGTGCATCATATCTAAAAAAGTACTGCATGGATGTTTTGAGGAAAAAAACAAGAACAAACCACTTGAACTTGTCCTACAGATGAGCACCAGTGCACTACAGCACTCTGCTCTACTAATCCCTCCATCCACAACTCACGTCTGCAGATGAATTTCAAGTAGCACTGAAGCAGTTTTGAGGAGAGCGTTTCACCTGAAATTCCAAAGTGCTCAAGACTTATTTCCACTGACAACTTGCTTTTGGTTGCCTGAGCTCATAAACACTGATAATGGAGTAAGCTAGCACTTCCTCTTCCCAAATTCTCAGTATGGGCTATGAAACAGCAGAACTCACAAGGTGCGTACAAGAAATAGCTGCATATACCCATGTTTTGGCCAAGTACTTCCTGCAACAGTAAGAGCACGCAGCAGTTAGTAGATGTCTAGTGTCAGTCACATGCTCTGCTGGTGTTCCCGCACTGCGTGTTCTAATCTGAGCATTCCCCTGACTGAAAGAATTACTGACCCACATGTATCCCGAAAACACCCAACAAAGCATATGGCCTGAACATGGAACATGTCAACACTTTGCAAAGATGCTATCGGAGTGCTGTAACCAGGCTGGTGGTAAGGGGGAGACAGCAATGTTGGTACACACACATGCACACTTAAATTGCACGATTTACCAACCCTGAGGCTTCCACGGCTACCCACTGACATGCGCTCATCTTCATCCAAAGCCTATCAAAAGAAAAGTATAAAGACAAGAAAACAATGAAAAACCCACAAGTAACAGGCAAGGTGGTAAATGCTGATGGCTTTGATGGGACAGAGTGAAAGAGGAGACATACAAAAGAAATGCCTTTTAAAAAAGAATCGCATTAAACCTCTAAGCAGAAAGGAAATGAAATCGGACCCTGCCTAAGGAACATAGTCAAGCATTTTCCTACTGGATGAATGACAACCTTGCTGAGGTGTTCTCTGCTCACGGTCCGACTAAACGAATGCTGAACACCCTGAGCAGGTTATTTCCCCACCTTCCATCCCCTGCCCCCTTTATTTTAGCACATTTTCAAAAGCTCCTCAGAGTGACTGGGGAGAAGGCAGAGAAGTCAGGAAGTGGCTTTGGGGTTTTCCCTTGCCTGGGTGGGGGGAGCTTATTTTTGGTCGGTTTTGGTTGCTTGGTTTATTGTTGGCTTTTTTCCTTTTAAAAAGGAACCGCTTTACCCACATCTGTTTTCCTAGTTTCAAATGTCTCGCTAAAAAAAGGCAAAAGTAGATACTAACCGAGGCGTTTCTTCTGGCTCTACGGGAATAACGCTCACTGTCTTCCTACCAAGGTGGCAAGAGGGAAAAAAAACAGAGTGTTAAGTGTTGAAAGGAAAGATACGCCAACAGACCACTTTCAGAAAGACACAGTGAACTTCAGCAATGTTTAGGAGTCAGTAAGGTTACCAAACAACAGAAGGTGATAGCTTGTCAAGTCAGAAAAATCCCTTTTCCCCTCTTTAGTGACCCCAGCTTAATTCCTGTTTTATTCTGCTACACACTTCTATGACTTTTGCAGAAAACCGCACAAAATGACACCTTTATTTCCATCCAAAAAACCATCTCAAGTGTATCTCTCTACCTCTGGGAATCAGTATACTTACAGTGCTTTTGTCATTGAGCCTCTGTGACACACAGCACCACTGCCTTTGAAATAGACCCTTTCCAAGACAGTCAAAGCCAATGTCTTCCATCACTTTAGCAACTTCCTCATCTTATATTATGGGTGTTAAAACAGTCAGATGTTGCTAATGGCCAAGCCCATATCTGGTATCAACTTAACTGGCTTAGCAAATAGTAATATCCAGGGTATGGTATTACTGGAAAAGGCGAGCACTGCCATAGCAGCGGTAATAACACATCTGAAGAGTACCCCTGGACCAGTAAGTACAAAGTCACTAACGCAGCATGGATAAAAATGCTGAAAATTTACCTGAAGGCAGATTGGATAAGACTCAAATTGTAACAAAACCCACAAGAAGGAAAATGAGAGCATGCATTCCTTGTGTTAACAAGAGGCCTTAACGGTTCTATATGATGGTCTAATCTTCAAGTGAGACAGTGGGGACAGAGGTCTGTAAAAAGAGATGGCTCTAACCAAACCCTTGCCAGTTTTAAGCTGATCAAAAGCCATATTCCAGGCATTGATGCAGACTGCAAGAATGGTTGTGGTAAGAGAGGAATTCACATTTCCAATACACAAACATGCCTACTTCGCAGGATTTCAAACACTAAGAAGTATAGAAAACTTCAACACATAGAAGCTGTTTAGCTACATTGATTAAGGCCTACCATCCATTGCTCGATGTCTCCCCATTTAGTATCCAGACCATAATATTTCTAGAGACAGAAAAGGACAAAAAAACCCCACAATTTAGATGAGAAAGGCAAACACAGAACATTTAGGCATGCACTGCCAGGTTTTGGCTTAGCCACACAGCTCCACACACACAAACATGCCAGGGAAAAGCTGCTCCAAGTGCCACCGCAGCCCTCGGCAGCACATGCCCAGGAGGAGCTGCCCAGCAAGGGGAAAGCCATGTGTTGAGTACAGCCAACGTATGTGAAAGCTTCTTTCTCAGCAGTGAAAAAACAACAGTACTGTGGGGACAAGAGCAAGGAGCATAATGAGTCTTGAATCCCTGACCCATTTAAGTCAAGACTCATTACAAGGGATCCGAACACAGAACACTTTTGGGGTGAAAAATGCTGTCAAATCATGTTTCCCATACAGATTTGTCAAGGGAAGACAAGTTGAAGGCAATGCAACTCATCTCCGTGCATTCTTATTCACTGCATTCCGAACTCCTGAGAGCTCCTTTTCAGACAAGGCTTCTTGCCTACACTTGAAGCATCTTAACAGTGGTGGTGTCACCAACAAGGATAGAAGAGGACATGTGTCACCAACGTAGGTGAGACTGGAAAGCTCTTCACCCTAACCCTAACCCTAACCCTGCCTGTACTTCAGTAACAAACCCCACGCGTTTGTTAGTCAATTGTCACTATGGCAGTGCGAGTTTCCCACTTCATAATCTCTGCACAGCCCTGGGAATTTCCCAACCAACTTGAATTTCCACCAGGCAGCAAACTCTTCAAAGATCCATGGGTTTAACAGGACTTCTCTTCCTCCCCAGACACATGCTTCAAACCTAGACTCAGGAAGTTTGCATTTGTAATGGTGACCATGACATTCCTGTGCGAGGAAACATCACCAGCCCTAAGCACAGTAATCAGCAAACAGAAATCCTGCTTAAGGAAGCATAATACGTATTTTAAAAGAAAATTAGGTTAGTGCTTTGAGGTGCATGTATCTGTGGACAAAACGAGCCTGTACTTGCCAGCTTTCCTAGAGACGTGAGGGGGCAGGAATATTAACAGTCAAAACCTCAGGTAATTATAAAACCCCCAGAAACCTGTCCTGTATTACACTCTGCATTTAACACTCACTCAGTGGTATTAATGTCATTTTACTTTCACCCTTAAAAACCTCATTTGCTATTTGTTAATAAACTAGAACAAACACCTGTGTGTTCTTTGATAGTGTATCAGTTTATTCCCACTTCAGAGTTCTTCTTCATTAAACAGTAACTCTGTTCTCACATTAAGGTCATCTTCATTTTCGTCTTAACAGCTCTGGAGAGAAGAGAGTCTGTAATGAAGTAGAATAGGCAGAGGGGTGCTCCATTACACATCCCGGAGAGCCCAAACTGTACAAGGACCTTTAAACACTGCCAGTTTGGGGGTCAAATTGGGGAAAAGGCAAGAGCTCACAGCAATCCCATTTATTAGGAAAAATGTTAGAAAGTCAGGTTTTAGCCCTGTAATTTGAAAAGAGGAAATAAAATAAATTCAGTGCCTTGCACATTTATATAGTGTGCAAAAATCTCTCTGGAGCAAGGAAAAGAGACAACGGCTCAAAAAGCTCTTCAGCGACATCCTTAGGAGAACAGGGGAGTATTCCCCTTTGCTTTTACCTGCAAAGCATCTTGCAGTGTGCCCAAATACATCTAATACCCCTGTACAACGCCTAGCTGAATTACACACAGGAGAAATTTCTCCCTTAGATTACATGGAATCGGAGTGCGTGACATGAACTACTGTTTCTTCCAGCATGACGAACTTCCTCACAAGTGCTCAGACGAGTTACTTCCAGGCAGAAGCGTAATGTGTACAGCAGCCTGGGAATTAAGTTTTATGTACGTCACATGGTGAAAGCGATCCCTGAAAATTATATGAACTCCAGCTGGTCAGGATTGTGGACATGATCTGAACCTACAGATTACATGCCTTGTAGTAAATCAGGTCAGGTGAAGCCTTAATAGAGGTTTTCCAGCTCCCCCAGGACATATATAACATTTTGTAACACTAGAAATCAGCTTTAAAAACCACTGTGATAACAGAGAACCCACATGGGAAGGACCTATAAACATGCTAACAGTATTTGTAAGGTGTGCTGCTTCCTTTACCTGCTGCTCTCCTTATTTTCTGACATAAGCTTCTGAATTCAGTTTTGTAGAAGGAAGATAAGGAAATACCCCTTAAAAGACTTGTTATATCACAAGTTCCACTTAAGCCTTTTCCTCCACCATTTAAAATTACATAGCTACATGCTTCGTATCCCCACAAGAACAATCTTAATGAATGTGATTACCTTGAGACTATTTATTTCAATTGATAATCTTTCAAACAGCATGTCTCACCCTGTATTGAACTGACAGCATTTGAAGTCTCAGGTATTTTGCCCCTCAGGCACTTCCCATTTCTTTCTCCATATGGACTCTTCTGTTCTGCCCTGGGGTGGTAGCGGGGGGCTGGTCTGAAGGGCCGCATGGGTTAAAGGAAGAAATGGTGCTTATGCATTCATTTGCTTTTCAGAGGCCTCTCCCAGACTCAAGTTTCCTTCTACCCTGAAAAGTGATACTACAATTAAATGATTCATGACATTAATACCATTGAGAGAGAATTCCAGATCAGATTTACTCACTAAGTGACAGCAAAGCTGCTAGACTTGCAAACTCACTATGGGATGGCGTGACGCTAACCCACTTATCTTCTCCTCCATGTCAGGACACCAACAGTAAACATCCTCCTTGGCTCCCACAGGGCTGTGTTTGTACCAGAAGATTAAATTAGTTCCTATAAAGGAGATTGATAACGAGCCTGTTGATCCAAGGGTAGCTGTTAATTTGAGTTACTTAGTACATATCAACTCCGCAAATAAAAACAAGAGTAAGATGTATTTGTGGCCAAATTGATGGGGTCAGGATTAAATGCCACAGCACATGATTTGAGTAGCTATCATCATATACGTATGCACTGCAGAGGAGAGCAGCATTTCCAAGCAGCACGTGCACCGCTCAGTCAAGCGAGTGAAACATGCAGTTAAGGCAGCAGGAGTGCCAGGCCAAAAACCAAACAGGCTGTGGTTTTAAGAGACATTCATCATTCAGCAAGCAATAGAAATATCTCAGGAAAAAAAAGCAGCAATATCCAGTAAGGCAGGAAATGGCAGGCTTGAAGAGAGATGCGCTTTCTCCTTCACTGCAAAACCTCTTCAGAGCCATTTCTCTTTAAGGTACGACCCAGTTCACATGCTGGAAGTATGGAACAGCCAAACATCATAACACAAAACCTAAAACTCTCTCTTGTTACATAGCAAGTAACCTCAGAGCGAGCTATTATCACCACCACCACCATTTGGAACTACTAAACTAAAACTGGGAGGAGGGAGGGGATTAAACAGTATAAAACGTGTTCGTAAGCTCAGGCCACGCTGGATGAAAGGCCACACCGTTTATTTACCAGGAGATTATGAACTCAAACACAGCCTCCCTGATTTACTTCAATGATTCGCTGCAAACAAAGTCACCTCCAAGTCATTCTTCCATGTTAAGCCCATGGTAAATGCTTGTCCAGCCCAAGGTGTTTCTCAGCCATACAAACGTGAGGACGGTGCTTGGTGACACACGGAGCCACCGCACCCCCTACGACGGCTGTTTGCCAAATTACCTTATTGCTCATTCTTTGTCAACCAGTCTTTAAAAACCCTTGTACTAAGTCCTGACCACACACATTCTACATGGGTCGTCTTCCCCCAGTCACCTTTATTGTGCATCCCACAAGACTATGGGAGGGAAGGGGAAAATGCATGGGAATATAAAGCCTGCTATGTACCTTCCATTGCTCAGAGGTTTGTTGGAAATGCTGGCAAGACTCACAACGTGGGAACACATGCAAAGAGGAATGAAAAAGAGCAAGCCCTACCTTCTGAACTTGGTAGATCTGGGTAAAAGGGAAAGGAGAAAAACAAGGAAACAAAAGCAAGTGTGAATAAAACAACCGCAATGCAGTGTTCTACAGCTCATTCTAAAGGACAGGAAAAGAACAATATTTATACAGAATATACAGCAAAACATGAAAACAAAAAGAAGTACACATCAAAGCCCTGCAGTTAGGTAGAATGAAAGCAGCATTTACCTTCTAGGCTTCCTCTGTGTGCCCAGCTGAAATAGAGCACTCCTGTTTTCATACCCACTAGGCTCTTGGAGGCACAGGCATTGATCTTTAAAGTCCCTTCCAACCCGAACCATTCTCTGATCCTATTGAACATTTGCCCCTTAGACTTAGCACCAGACCAGAGCCCAACCCAGCTGTGAGCTAGGACCTCTCTCTTTACCAGCTTCAGAGTAATAATGCCCATATACTCACGTGGGATGGCAGTCATACATCTACCATCACAACAAAAGCAAACAGCATTAACTACAGAAAAACTGCTCTTTTAAGGACAGGTTTTGTCCTGAAGTGCTGAAGCACAGTGACAACAGCATCGATGCTTAGACATCTCTCACCTGTGTACAGCACAGCCTCAGCTTGTTAAACCCCCCTGAAAACGTATTCCACATGTTGGAGGATCTCTGCAGGTTGCTTTTCCAATTTTTAATGTTTCCAAGGAGCCTCACACCATCTGCAGGCCCTAATAAACGCACTGCTGACTGTCCAAAGTTGTTCCATAGTCTGGAACCATTTCAATAATGCACTTAAGCATTACAGCCACCCTAACACATCCGAATTTTGTTTAAGTGGAGAATTGCCCTTGACTGATCAGCTTTGGAAATGCACATGAAAACCAGGGGTTTTCTCACATCTTTCCTAGCACTTCTAAAGCAAGAACCCTTCCTGTTTAAGAACACCTAACTGGCCACACAAACCCAGAAGGAAATTGCAGGGATTTTTTTCCCCACTAGCTTTCTACCTGTAGGAGATGTATCACAGCTCTGGTCCGAAAGCCTTCAGCCACCTGACTGCTTGTCTTCCTAGATGAGCACCGATCCTGGCTGAATAACCATCAATGCCAGCCCTCTGCTCTAAGCACATCCCAGGGGGAATGGTACATTGCTGACTCCAACCCTTCAGCTGGTCAGCAGGCAGCAGAGAGTCATTCTCCCCTCTTTGGGAATATTAAGGGAATCCCTCCATCCATCTGGGCCACCTCAGGTGAACCCAGATCCCAGTGCTGGGAAGCAGAGCACACTGCTTTCAGTCCCTGCCCTCCTGATCAGGTTTCCCTTCATGATGATGAAGGACAACTGCAGAACCCAGCTCAATACCTCAGAAGCATTAATTCCTATTCCTGCAAGCGCAGGGGGGATAATTAGGGACCCCACTTAAAACTGGAATTCCTACAGGACTCACCACGTCACTCACCTTTTACTAAGAAAAGCCTGAGGAGGAAACTGAACTCCACTGACCCACAGTTGCCAAGACTGCATACAGAGCCCGATCTTTTGTTCCTCTGTTGCACACACAGAGTGCCTTTACTCCATACACAGAAGCCAGACACCACCACTTCAGATGTGGCAATTACCTGAGGCTGTTTAACCTTTACGCTTTAACTTCTCAATGTTGTTTCACTCATGTGCTTTGAGGCAGCACCATGGAAGTCTTACTTTTCAAGCCCCAATGCTTCAGGATTGGCATAGCAGGTACTCCCGTTGAGTGCAAAGGGAGACACACAAGAAGTCTTGTGTCCAGCACCCTGATTGCTGATGGATAAGATAACAACGAGGCCCTTGTTCTGGGCCAGATGCTGTGGAGGGGGGCACAGGGATAAAGCCAAGTGCATCATCATAACTGTTCCAGTGCTTTATAAAACCTGGAATTTTAGGGTCATCCATTAGCTAACTGGCATTAGAACAGCTCTGATCCAAAGTGACCCATCTCTTGTCAGGGTACTGCTCTCCTTAGTGTGCTACAGGAGAAAACACTTTCAAACAATAACCTCTATTGCAGCTATGTCCCCCCCAAAAGAACTTCACAGAGTCAATAGACTTCTAAGCAGTCAAATGCCTTAAACAGCACTTTCCTGTGTTATGATATGACCAAACAAGAAAACAATACACAAAGGCAGCAGCATTAGTGGCATACTGCTTTCGGGCTTTCCTCATCACATGAAGTTTTCCACAAAAATTACATTTTTCATAGGAATAGCTTTAGAGCTGAACAGAATGAGCCAGTGGAGCAGATGGCAGAAGGAGGCAGAAATCTACAATCTACTAAAACCACCTTTGACATATTCCCTTTCCCATTGTCCCTGTGCACCCTCACATCGGTCGTGTTAAGAAGGATACAGGTTAACCAGCACAAACCTCCGTAACTTCTCCCCTGCCTACATAAGCACCAAGTCCCATGGTCAGTCCCACCCCTCCCATTCAAGCCACCAGCATTCTGCTTCTCCCTAGTTTTCCCTGCACTGCCTGGGACTTTAAAACGGCTTCAAGCAATCCCAAATCCAGCGGTGCCACAGGACCCACTGACTCCCATCAGACTTGTGCGCACCAAATCCCTGCAAGGCCAGAAGGGGCCTGCATCACGGTCAACAGGATGGGTGAGCAGAGCAAAACTGGCTGCAAGTCTTTTGCCCGCATTAACTTGGCTTTAGTGTATTTCCTAAATTTATGACATGCTCAAGGAACTGACATGGAAAAAAAAGAAAGGCATGACATTAAGTGCTGGTAACATTTTATTCCAAAGAAACACAAATTCAAGGATGATAAGTATGTGCAAAAGAGTGTGCTGGGAAAGAACAGGTTTACAAAACAGCAAAGGCAAGTTTTGTGCTGTGCCCTTAAAGCAAGAGCCAAAAATGAATCTAGGAGACAAACATAACGCACTTGCCTTGAACTAGAAGTACAGGCTCTACTGTGTGAACTAGCAAGGAAGAGTCTTATCGTGAAGGTTAAGGAATGGGAGATCATTCTCTTTTCACTTCAGGTACTAATATCAGCTTAAATTGTGGTCTCCAAGTGTCAATCCTCAAAAAGACATTTAAAGTCTCGCCAGCAGAAGGTAATGCTGCAGCTTTTATGTGTCTTGAAACATTACTATATTTCTTGGGGGAAAAAAGGCTTTAATATATCTTACACCAACCTTCAAAGGAAAAAAACAGAAAAAAACTATTCTCTCCATTTTATCTGGTAATTCCCCATGGGAATTAACCCTTTGTGACTCAGAAAAACTGAGCTCACCTGAATTCAAAGTAAGTATCTGAATGCACACAAGCATTTGGCTCAGCACCAAGCACAACTCTGCAGCTGTAAAGGGAAGGTTTAAAGCACACGGCAGCGTGCACAACAGCAAAGGAGCACAGAGTAAGGAGTCAGAAACATTCCAGCAGTCCTGTTTATTAGGTCTGTGCCTCTCTCAGAGCCTCTGCTCTCAGTTATGTGCTTCACATGAAATAATTTCTGCCAAATGGAGAGCTTGGTATGATATCGTGGAGTCTTTACCATTTACCTGTAAGCTTTACCACACAATTGTGACTGATCTCTGTATGTATGCACTCTTCATGTACGGTGAGCCAACAGAACCAGCACTAGACATTTTAATAGCTCTCCAATAAAGGTGCTGCTCATTCTACCTACACATAAAAGAACAAAAATCTCAGATACCTGGTGTTTTTACACTGATGTTTCACAGAATCCCATGGCTTGGATTGGGAAGGGACCTTAAAGCTCCTCCAGCTCCAACCCCTGCCACGGGCAGGGACACCTTCCACTAGAGCAGGTTGCTCCAAGCCCCTGTGTCCAACCTGCCCTTGAACACTGCCAGGGATGGGGCAGACACAGCTTCTCTGGGCACCCTGGGCCAGCGCCTCAGCACCCACACAGTGGTTAGAGCCTCAAAGCCCCATTTTTCGTAACGGCAAGCAGAAGAGTAGCCAAATCACAGATGTAGGCTCCCAGTACAAAAATCCCCCAGTTATTTGAAAATGAGGAAACTGAAGCAGAAGATTAAGAAATGCCATTAGTACCAGGTGGTGGGCAGGCAGAGGAGCCAGTTCCCAGTCCACATCCAATTACTAGAAAACTTCACTGCAAACGAGAGCTAAACTGCCATGGTTATAGCTTGTCGTGGTAGCACCTGGAAACTTTTAACGCAGACCAGCAACGTAAATATATTCTCAAGTAATCCATGTTTCCCAAGAAGCCTGTCTGGGCATGTACACTGCTTTAAGCATGAGCAAGTACACACACATGCAATAAATGTATTTATTGCTTTTTAACTTCCATAACTGCCCCTAAAAAGCCTTCTGAAGCAGTAAAACAAGTGCTTTAAGTTCTGGTTACTCAACACAGCAGTAGTGGGAATGTGCTGTTTATTCCTCTGAAAAATCTGAGATGGAAAAATGAAGATGGCAGAAAAGAAGCTGTACAGACCCCAGTACCACAGCACATTCTCCTCCAAGGCAGGGGTAGGTGCCAGATCTCGTGTGTGGATCCCTGCTTGGAATTTTCTGTATTTATGTTTTCTTTTATTATACCTGCAAGACACCCGTGGCCATGAAAATCTTCCTGCAGCCACCCTCACAAGTTCCCCCCTGCATCTGGGGCTGAGATTACGCTCTTTGAAAAAGTTACAGGATAGCCCAGCTTGCAAAACATTAAATAAATGCACAATCACATTACCCCAGTGAATTACAAACCAAACTGCAGTGGAGAGCTGGCTTCACTTTCACTAAATTTGGCGTTTCAGAGCAACACCCCGTGTGATCCAGGTTTTATCTACACAAATTTTCACAGTTTCAGATCACTACTCTTCAGTTAGTAACTGCAGGACCATTCAGATGAGCTTCAGTTGTCAATTTACTATGACACCCTTTGCAGCAGCAGCTTTTAATCTTCAAAGGGGTCATCAGTTCCATTAAAGTTATCTGCAAATTAGATGGTAACACCACTGTCAGCTGCCATGACACCCGTATTTACCTTGCTGCCCAAACAAGGCATCTGGTGGTTGTTTACCACAGCTCTGCCAAAGGCTGCTCGGCACGTCCCATCACTGAGGCCACGGGCACAGCAGGCACAGCAGGCAGCTTGACAGTATCAGTGTTTATTTGCAGTCCAGGCCTTCTGACCGGGGTCTAGGTCGCAAGAAAACATCCTTCGCAAAAGCAGTAGCCAGAGCAGGAAGAGGCTCCTCTCCTCCACAAGCACTGTGCTTGCAGCAAATGCTCCCCTGCAGCTCTTACTCCTGGTGTGTTTGCAGGTCCATGTAGCCCGTAACACTGCTGTGGTTACAGGCTGCTACAATACATCCAGACGTGCCTCAACTAGACAGGACACTCCAGCACAAAGCTGAGCACAGGCAAACTTCTGCCCAAGTGCCTCCTTTGCAGGTATTACTGCAGCCTCCACTAACACTAGTCTGCTGTCACATCTCGATTCACTAGTTAAAAGCTAAAGTGAATCCTTCTCTGCACTCCAAAGCACGAATGCGTATTCATTCTCACTACCTATTCCTACATCCTGCTCCCAAATTCCCTACTTCTTCCCTTTCCTTCAAAATTAATTTGAAAAAAAAATAAATAAATAAAGGTATTATTAGTATTGCCTCTGTTCTGTCCACTCTGCTATTTTCATTAAATACACAGCAACAAATACCAGTTTTAAGCCCTCCTGGTTCTGTCCACCTGCGCCCACCCATGCTTGGAGCCCCAATCTAAGAGCACTCGTTTTGCTTCTCGAGGTTCGAACCAAATGCTGCTCTCAGTTTCCTGCAGTGAACAAACATTTAGCACAGCTCCTAAGCTGTCAAGCACAGCAGCAGCAGAATAAGCCTTTCTGGTCTTTAAAATCATTCCTACACTGGAAGCCCACGATATCCCACACACTGACATGCAGAGGCACAGTAACTTTGAGGCTGGTATAAAATAACCAGCTCTTCCAGAATTTGGCATTTAATCTAAATGTTTTGCCAAGTTCAGTTTCTATCATTATTTCTGCCACAGGAGACCACTGTTTTTACAAACCAGGGGAGACCACAATGCCAAATTCATGACAATGAAGCAAAACAGCTTACAAGGAGATGTATACAAGGCCAAGTCTTCCGTATTAATTAGATTTCAAATGAACTGATAAGAACTCACCCCCCAACGCACACACAAACAAGCTGTGTACTTCAAAGTCGAATATTAAACTTTGATTACTAACTAACCACCAGTGAATAATTGCACTGGCTTCACCATGACAAAACTCTTGTCACAACCCATATTTTTTTCCAGGCTTGTTTATTTCCTATTCTATGATCAACATTAGTAGACTATTACTGTTTCAACGAAATACAGATCAACCCTTTGTTCCATGATCCTGGATTATACTCGGGAAAGGAGATGATCAAAACACCCCCCAAAAGCCTTGACCATACCTCTTTCTGCTGCCTCTCCAGTTCCTTCATCCGGATCTCCCGCGCCTCTGCCCGTGCCGCTCGCTTTGCTGCAAGTCTTGCTTCAGCCTGCAAAGGGGAACGCAGCAGTGAAATAAAAGCTGAACAATTCCACATGAAACACACTTGTTAAGCAGGGCATGAAATACGGAGACTTGACTCGGCAAGACTGTAAACACATCTGTAGGAGTTAATTCCCTATTGCAAGTAATGGCCCTGCCTTCCATAATTTGTTATGCTTCACAGCCAGGTAATACACCCTCGTGTAGGCACTACCCTCAGCTAGGAACTGTGTCTCACAGTACTTTGCGTTTCTTTAATTACTATTTGTGTGGACAGAGAGGAAACAGCAAGATTTATTTATGAAAGATGGGGTTTGCTCTTCCTCTCTCCCCCCCTCTTTGTGGTGCAGCTTTATTTTATTGATGAATTAATCTGACCAACAGCAAACACATTATGTGCCATCTTTCCTAACCACTGACATTGCGCACACATACGTGGGCACAGCACGTAGGTAAACATTCCTGTTCAGCACGACTATGCACAGCTACGGCTGAAATGATGGGACGCTGGGGAGGGAGCAGGGAAGCTGGGAAAATGCACTAACTCGAGGTCTCCAGACATCCGCATTCAAGTCCAAACCTCTCCAGAGTGGAACCCTGCCAAGAACCGGCCTCACGGGAGATCTACAGCGCTTCCTCATCTCAGCCCAGCTGGAAGCGCTACGACAGCCTATACAGTAATATTTTTAAATATTCTGCTTTTAATCCCAGGCAAAGCTGTTTAGTCTGATAGAGAAAAATGTAAAATTAGCTCAGGCTTTGCACCCCACAACTGCGAGCAGTCTGCCCGCTGAAATCCAAGATAGCTCAGCAGGGAGCAAAAGGCATTGCTCAGCTGGTGTCACACCCACCTCCTCTGCTTCTGAAACCTCTTACTGTAAGTACAGCATCCACTTTAACAGGAAAACTTGCAGTAATACGAAGGTCAAGTCGACAGAAAAACAAAATGCCAGAGCTTCTATTAGCACTTTTAAACAGAAATATGCAAAGAGAAGAAATTCTCAGTGCAATGATGTGATCGATACAATAAGCAACGGTCCCTGATGGTATCAGTGGTGCAAATAGCATGAAACAAACACTTCCAAACAAAATTTACTTTGCTTCCTCAGGTTAGGTTAGTTAAGCAAGACTGAACATGCTCTTACTCATCATCCGACTGCCTTTGGCACTTCAACAAAACAGGACCACCAGAGTTTGCAGAAGGGTAAGTCAGAGTTCCCGAATACTCACAGTTCCCCAGGAAAGTCCTCATCTGACAAAGAACAAAACCAGTCCCAGATGCAGAAGTCAAGCATCCCACCCCAGTGTTTCCAAATCCTTCTCATCTGAAGCTACGCAGGAGCCTCTGGCGAGCGTTCTCCAACTTGGATGTAGCATGCTATAATCAGGCTGGTCATCCAGTGATCAACGTGTGCCCTTCCTGATCCCATTTCTACCACGCTTCAGTAGAGAAAATTATTTGTTCAGAACGGAATTTTGTACATCCTGTAGGTGACATTGGTAACAAACCTGGCATCACTGACGAGCTCAGAGGAAGTAAATCAATCAGGGCAGGGATGAGGCCACACCTAGCACTTACTGTGTATGATTTTATCAGAGATAAAACAAAGTCTTGTAGCAACCCAAACACCCAGCAAATTCTGCAGGAAGTGTGGGAGACACACAGGAACTATTCCATACGAATTTTCCTGTGCATAAGCATAGCTCAGCTACTGACAGGAGTAGCTACCCCATCAGCAACCCACATGGCATGGATGTTCCCAACACAAGCACCACTGTCACCTACAGACTTTTAAACTAATATGTAAGAGAGTCAGATTTATTATGGACCTTTTCCTGAAAAGCAGGGGCATGACTAAACTGGTCCAAGATTGTCAAACCACACTCTTTGAAAGTCTTGGACTCTGTTTGCACATTAACAGTTCTGTGCTATAAATAACTTCATCTCTTGCACACCCTGCAAACAGCAGCTTTAACTTCACATTTCCCTCTCTGTGCTGACTAAACCAAAACAGCCTTTGCCTGGATGATTTTGGCCTTCATCCAGTCCAAGCATTTGGCAGAACCCAGACCCAAGGGCAGCCAGTAGAAGAGACTGACACCATAGCCTGCAAGAGATACAGCAAAACATCAGGCCATCAGGCCAGGGAGGGGATCCTGCCCCCCTGCTGTGCTCTGGGCAGACCCCCCCTGCACCCCTAATTCAGCTCTGGGGCAACAGCACAAGAGGGACGTGGAGCTGCTGGAGCGAGGCCAGAGGAGGCCCCGGAGCTGCTACGAGGGCTGGAGCAGCTCTGCTCTGGAGCCAGGCTGAGAGAGCTGGGCTGGGGCAGCTGGAGAAGAGAAGGCTCCTGAAGGGGACACCTTAGAGCAGCTCCAGTGCCTAAAGGGGCTCCAGGAAACCTGGAGAGGGGCTTTGGACAAGGGATGGAGGGACAGGCCAAGGGAAATGGCTTGAACCTGCCAGAGGGGAGATTGAGATGAGCTCTGAGGCAGAAGCTCTTCCCTGTGAGGGTGCTGAGGCGCTGGCACAGGGTGCCCAGAGAAGCTGTGGCTGTCCCATCCCTGGCCGTGTTCAACGTGGTCGTGTTCAGGTCTCGGCGTGGCACAGGGGCTTGGAGCAACCTGCTCTAGTGGAAGGTGTCCCTGCCCGTGGCAGGGGTTGGATCTGGAGGAGCTTTAAGGTCCCTTCCAACCCAATCCATGCTATGATTCTATGATCATGAAACAGTAATAAATTCATACAAACTTCTGAAATTCAGACTACAAAGGCTAAGATGAAAGGCCCCGGGCTGCCAGCAGAAATAACAGTTCAACGGATTCAAGACAAAGAAAAAAGCCACACCAAGCTCAAAGGAAGTAATCCGAATCTAAAATTCAGCAGTGACTCAGTGAGCAAGCAGTACAGGCCTCAATCAAAAGTGACAGATCACTGGCGAAAACAGAGGACTAAAAACATGAAGCCTAATTGCTCTCATTAGAAAGCTTTTGTCATTTCCCTTTTATCAAGTACTGCTCATCTGACAAGGAGGACTGGCATCTTCAGCCAATCTGTGCATCTCAAAAAACCCCATCAAGCCTACTAAGGGGCCTCTGCAATGGGAAACGAGGAGACGGCAACCACACTGCCAAGGTGAAGATGAAATGCACGCCAGCCGAAAAATTATCACCTTAATTCATGTAACTCGTTCAAATACTGCATGTCCTGCACTTCATCTTTTGACTGCAGTTGCACAGAATGATTGATAGCCACTAAGGCCCGAAAAAAGTACACTGCTGCACTGAAAATGGCCATTGCTTTTGCCAGTCCCCTTGCTCAGCACTCGACACCCCTGCTTAAAGGGTCACTACTTTTAAAACCATTGAGTTCTCTGCAGCAGATTTTTACTCTGCCTCAAGGAGTTCAGCACATTTAGCTCTGAACAGGGAAAATCCAAGTAGGTTGTAACCTGGTTCACTACTGAAGTGCAACTACATCTGAGAAAAAGCCAAACCAGATCACAGAACCCCAGAGTGGATTGTGTTGAAGGGACCTTAAAGCTCCTCCAGCTGCAACCCCTGCCACAGGCAGGGGCACCTTCCACTAGAGCAGGTTGCTCCAAGC